GGTCTTTTCTGAGCCTTTCCCTGGGCATGCATAGTCACTTTCTAGTTTTCTCTGTATATGTGATCATTTTTTAAATATCCTAGTTTTTAATGTCTCCCCAAAGGGGAAAAAGTGAAAAATGAAGAGGGTGGGGTAGGGAGCATGCCAGTCCTTTAGAGACCCCCTGGCAGTCACTTCAGCCTCGACTGGAGAGACTTGCAACAATGGGGGTGGTGTGACAGCGGCGGCCACCTCTGCACCTCTGACCGGAAGCAGCCATCAGGGCAGACTGCTGACATTCGAAAGGGCTTTCTGCCCACGCAGGTTCCTGTGAGCTGTTGCAAGCTGCTCCGTGAGTATGGCTAGCGGTGGGGCGGTTGCTACTGCACTAGGAGCCAGAGTTGACCAAAAGTGTCAGCAGTTGACAGTCCTGGTTCTCCCTGGAAGTTATAAGCCTTTATTTAGACTCTGTCCTGAAATCATTGCATCAAATTCTGCCTGTGCAATCGGTGACTCGGTCAGGAGAGATGGCTGGTGCTTCTCTCACTGTCTTTCCAGAATCTTCCTAAACGTCACCTATTCCCCATCAGTTTAAATCACCTGCATCAGTACTAAAGGTCTACTTGAATTTGAATTTGAACCTGTTTCTGTTCTAGGGTTTGCTTTTATGCCCTCTATGGCAGTTTTTAATTGCTTTTATAGCTTGATATTTTCCTGTTGAGAGAATACTGCCTCACTGCTCCTTCAGAATTTCCCTTTTTCCCAATATGACCTTTAAAGTTAGCTTATCTGGTTCTTGCCGGGAACTGGTTATTGGGATCAAGTTTAAAAATTGGTTAAATTGGGGCGCCTGGGTGGCTCAGTGGGTTAAGCCGCTGCCTTCGGCTCAGGTCATGATCTCAGGGTCCTGGGATCGAGTCCCGCATCGGGCTCTCTGCTCGGCAGGGAGCCTGCTTCCCTCTCTCTCTCTCTCTGCCTGCCTCTCTGTCTACTTGTGATCTCTCTCTGTCAAATAAATAAATAAAATCTTAAAAAAAAAAAAAAAAAAAATTGGTTAAATTAAGTACAGACTAGAACACAGAGACTTCAATCCAAAAACAAGGGTGTATGCTTTCTGGTTGTTCCAGGGGTGTGTCAGTTAGGTGCTATAGATTTTAGAAGGTTCACACACCTCCTGAATATTATCTTTTCTGTTAAAACATATGTATCTGTGTATGTATGTGTTTCATTATTATTTGAGAGCGCACACACATAAACAACGGGAAAGGCAGGGGGAGAGGGAGAAGCACTCTGCACTGAGCAAGGAGCCCAACGTGGACTCACCCCAGGACTCTAGGTCATGACCCGAGCAGAAGGTAGATGCCTAACCAACTGAGCCACCCCGGTGCCCCATATGTTTTTTTTGTTTTTTTGTTTTGTTTTGTTTTTAAAGATTTTATTTATTTATTTGACAGACAGAGATCACAAGTAGGCAGAGAGGCAGGCAGAGAGAGAGGAAGGGAAGCAGGCTCCCTGCTGAGCAGAGAGCCCGACGCGGGGCTCAATCCCAGGACCCTGGGATCATGACCTGAGCCGAAGGCAGAGGCTTAACCCACTGAGCCACCCAGGCGCCCTGCCCCTATATGTTTTATTTTTACTTAAGTAATCTCTGTACCCACTGTGGGGCTTGAACTCATGACCCCAGGATCAAGGAGTAGAATGCTTTTCCAACTGAGCCAGCCAGGCCACCCTACTTCTGTTATATTTTCTTACTGTAGTTGCATATAGGAAAGCTATTGATTCCAGTTATTTTGTTGAATGTTTTTCAGAGTAGCTTTTAGTTGATTCTGTTGACCTATCTGGAAAAAAAAAAAAATTTTTTTTAACCCCCACACCCAACATGGGGCTTGAATTCACAAACCCTAGATTCAATCTAACGTCCTACCAAACCAGCCAGGCACCCTGAAAAGAAGTTTTTGACTCCTTTTTGTCTTTTTTGTTAGATAAAACTAATTTGTCTAAATTTTTTTTTAAAGATTTTATTTATTTGTTTGACAGAGAGAGAGGAGGAAGCAGGCTCCCTGCTGAGCAGAGAGCCTGATGTGGGGCTCGATCCCAGGATCCTGGGATCATGACCTGAGCCGAAGGCAGAGGCTTAACCCACTGAGCCACCCAGGTGCCCCAATTTGTCTAAATTTTTAATTTTAATGTAGTCCTTCATCTAATTTCTCTTAAGTCATATACCCAGGATCTTAACTATGGTGAGTAACCCTGTATCTCCATCCTAAGGAGTATGTGGGGTGTTTGATGCAGCGGGTTAACTTTTTTTTTTAATATTTTATTTATTTGACAGAGAGATCACAAGTAGGCAGAGAGGCAGGCAGAGAGAGAGAGAGGGAAGCAGGCTCCCTGCCAAGCAGAGAGCCCAATGTGGGGCTCGATCCCAGGATCCTGGGATCATGACCTGAGCCGAAGGCAGAGGCTTTAACCCACTGAGCCACTCAGGTGCCCCACGGGTTAACTTTTTAATGAGGTTAATGAGAATCCATCTACTCCTATTTTAAGAACTTATATCTGGAATGAGCTGTAGATCTCAGTCCCTGAGACAATTTTTTTTTTTTTTCTCATTTGGTTTCTTCATGGCATGAGCTTTATTGTACATGTCCTCATACAACCCTTGCATTTCTGTGACGGTAGTCCTTCCGAGTATCCTCACCCTTTGCAAGACATCTTAAGGTGCTTATTTTTTTAACATGCTACTGCAATTTACTACTTAGGTTTTTTTAAGATTTTATTTATTTGACAGAGATCACGGGTAGGCAGAGAGGCAGGCAGAGAGAGGAAGTGAAGCAGGCTCCCTGCTGAGCAGAGAGCCCGATGTGGGGCTCAATCCCAGGACCCCGGGATCATGACCTGAGCCGAAGGCAGAGGCTTTAACCCACTGAGCCACCCAGGTGCCCCTACTACTTAGTTTTTTTTTTTTTTTTTAAAGATTTTATTTATTTATTTGACAGAGAGATCACAAGTAGGCAGAGAGGCAGTCAGAGAGAGAGAGAGGAGGAAGCAGGCTCCCCATTGAGCGGAGAGCCTGATGCGGGCCTCGATCCCAGGACCCTGGGACCATGACCTGAGCCGAAGGCAGAGGCTTTAACCCACTGAGCCACCCAGGCGCCCACTACTTAGGTTTTAAATCACTACTTCAGAAGTATTTGGTTTCCTTTTTTTTTCTTTTTAAGATTTTATTTATTTAACAGAGATCACAAGTAGGCAGAGAGGCAGGCAGAGGGAGAGGAGGAAGCAGGCTCCCCGCTGAGCAGAGAGCCCGATGTGGGGCTTGATCCCAGCACCCTGGGATCATGACCTGAGCTGAAGGCAGAGGTTTTTTTTTTGTTTTTTAAAGATTTTTATTTATTTATTTGACAGAAAGAGGGATCACAATAGGCAGAGAGGCAGGCAGAGAGAGAGGGGAGGAAGCGGGCTCCCTGCGGAGCAGAGAGCCCGATACGGGGCTCGATCCCAGGACCCTGAGATCATGACCTGAGCCGAAGGCAGAGGCTTAACCCACTGAGCCACCCAGGCACCCCTTGAATTCAGTGTTTAACTCCTCCATCCTTACCAGCGTGTTTCAGGCTATGACTCCCCACGAGCTCCATCGCTTGGTTACTTTCCATCTCTGTTGTACACCATTAGGAGTGCAAGAGCTGGATATACTCTGTCAACTTTGCAAAGTTTTTTACTCTTTTCAGGCTTATATTTGTTAACAATTAGTACCAAGAACATAATGTACCACCATCCTGTTAAACTACAGGGGCATACACAGACCATCACTTAAACATCAGATAGTGGCTCTAGTGCCCAAAGCAGTGCCCTACCATTTAGGTAGCAGAATTTCATATCTTGCCCACCCCAGCCTCCTCTGATCACCACCCCCCCACTGCCCCCAATCCTCTAGGGCTGCATGATCTGCTAAGGTCGCCATTAGATACATGTCCCAAATGAACACTTAAACCATGGCTGGTCCAAACTGCAAGTGTTGTAAGTATAAGGTACCAGATCTTGAAAATGGAGTAGTTTACATTTTTTTGTACTAACATTTTTATTATATATTGCTGTTTTAACTATTATGTTAGGCTAAATATATTTCTACCAGTTTGTTTTTACTATCTTAGATGACTGTGCCATCCTGCTGGGCAGCGCTAAGTTCTCCCTCTGTCCGTCGGCTCCCTTCCCTGAAACCGTGCAAGGCTCTGAGAGCTCACACAACACTGCCTTCCTGTCACCCTTAGAAGACAGTAGCACCATGATGCCAGGTTAGTGTTAGTATTTATTTTAAAAATACACAAAATACAAATTTTTTACATCAAAGGGTGATAACCTCACTTATACATTGTTCCATACTTACCTGGTTTGGTTTGCTTCCTTACGCAAACATTAATAGATGGACTGGATTCTGATTTTTTGCTAGGGTTCATGTGAGCAGTGAGACCGACTGCTACATAAAGCTGTCTTAAAAGGTAAGTTGGCCACAGACACCCAGCAGTGCAACAATTCGATTTGGTTTAATGAAATTGGCAGAAGTCTTAGCAGATAGGTAATCGAAGACTAAATATTGGCTTCTAGGCATTTTAATTACTTAAAACCTTGAGGTTTTCTTCATCCTGTAAACAAACGTAACTTAGACCTTGTTGGCATGAAGTTTGAAAAGTAAAATATTAAACCATGATTTTCATCAGCCTGCCTGTGGTCAGTATACACTCTCTTTATTATGAGAATGAAACCAAATAATAACCAAAATACATCAGGAATTTCAAATTATACTGTAATGAAGGTCCCGGCTGCCCTCTCTCCTAGGAGCGATCTAAGTTCAGCTGCCCCTGCCCCCGGCTGAGGATGACCCCCGCTGTCCGCCAGACAGCACAAGGCCCCGGCCGTGACACGGTCAGGTCCTCTTGCTCCGTGTCTTCCGAAGCCGTAGACCGCTGCCATCTCTGCTGGCTCTGCCGGCCTTCCTTGGGCTTGGATTCACTGGGTTAGTGGTTTGGGACTATTGTCAAGACTGTACTGTCCCTTTAAGGTACCACATGCCACCATAGCTTACACAGCAGTCCTGGGAGGAGAGAGAGAGGTGTTAAGGGCAGACTTGAGCAGGAAAGGTGGAGACTCCGTCTCATACAGAACGCCACAACTCAGTCTATGACTAATGGACAGAACACAAATGGGAAATCAAGATCTGCCTCCTCACAGCGCTGCACTAGCAGCATTTGGGCCTCAGGGCTACCTCCTCTCGGGGGGTCCAAAAAGTAAGGAACCATAAATGAATGTGCTTGGTAAGCACAAGATTAAAAAAAACAACAACCAAAAAACTGTCCCTAAGCAGACCCAGAACGAAGGTGCCTCAGTAGTAGCTCTAGGTTACGGCCCAGATGGCTGAGGTCATCACGACATGAGGAAACGGGGAGCAGCTTTCCGGGCCGGGGGTCTGCAAATACGGTACGTGTGCAAGCTGCACACGATTCTAAAGGGGAGGCGAGTCGGGACTCACAGGCCCGGTTATCTCTGCGAGGGTGGCGTCCACACCTCCCTCAGCTCACTCCTCGGCCCCCGCCCCCCAGCATCAGTGGCGGAGACCCCCTGGCTCGGGAGAGGCCAGATTTACGAAGCACCCGAGGCCGGGAGAAGCCAGCCCTGGGCGCCCCCAGCCAGGGGCTGACGGCGCGAAGCAGGGATACCTTTAGCACTTTATCCACCTCCTGCTTGCTCAGGTCCTCTCCGCACTCCTGAGTCAGCCGAGACTGGATCATGTTCCGGCGGACCCGGTAATTTTTGGAAAAGATTTCAAGCAAAACCTGTCGGTGCTTTAGTAGCAAAAATAAGTTAGTGTGGAAAACAGTCATCTAAAAGAGAATCCTCTCCAAACAAGAAAGGCAAAGCGACGGCCCTAACCCCACACCGCAGTCCGTGTGCGCCAGGACTTCTGTTTAAAGATCAATACCCCCGACCCACCGGTCATCCCGCGACCCCCAGGACAAGGAATAAAAGCCTGGGAAGCGCCTGCGGAGGGTGAGCAGTTTAGACTTGGTGTTTCCTGGTAACTAAGCAGGGAAAGACCCCAACTAAGTCAGCTGTGTGAAGACAGGGCTGGAAAGCTCTGTTGCGTGTATTTTTAAAAATAAGCCCTTCTTTGAATCTGATTAGGAGAAAAAATGGTCAAATTCTTTGAATTTCCAACTCGGGAAGGACTAGAAAACTCCGAGGCCTCTCCTGGCCAAGAGCACAGAAGCTGGCTCAGGAAGAGCCCCTGCACTGCTCTTGCGTGGGGGCCCCGGCTGAGGCCATAGGGGGATGCTCCCCACTTTCTCCCCACACCTTAAGGGTAAGACCTGGAAAAGGGCAGACGAGTGTTTGAGCAGTTTAATCTTCATCCTTAAACTTGAGGCAAGTTCATGATTTAAGGACAATTTCTGGACCTCAGGGTCCGTGAGTATAACCAGATAGACAGTGCTGGTTTGACTCCTACTGTGCTCACTGGACACTCGGGACCCTTCCTGCTGGGGTGACAGGAGGCAAAATGGACCACTTTCTAACTTATAAACCAGCACTTGACCTCTGATGAATCCTTCTGATTCTTACTGCCAGAGGCCACCTGACAAACATGGACTGTCCCTGGTTCATGAGCCCAGCTGGATGGCAGAATCCTCAGGAAATATCTATAAACATGTTGGGGTACCTGGGTGGCTCAGTCGGTTAAGTACCTGCCTTCTGCCAGCATCCTGGGATCAAGCCCCACATCGGGCTCCCTGCTCAGCGGGGAGTCTGCTTCTCCCTCTGTCTGCTGCTCCCCCTGCTTGTACTCTCTCAAATAAAATCTTTTTAAAAATCTGAACAGGTAGGGGCGCCTGGGTGGCTCAGTGGGTTAAGCCTCTGCCTTCAGCTCATGATCTCAGGGTCCTGGGATCGAACCCCGAATCAGGCTCTCTGCTCAGCGGGGGGCCTGCATCCTCCTCTCTCTCTGCCTGCCTCTCTGCGTACTTGTGATCTCTGTCAAATAAATAAATAACATCTTTAGAAAAAAAAAATCTGAACAGGTAAATACCTAGCTCCTACAGAACTGAACTAAATCTCTGGCGTCAGTGCTAAGAGCCTACATGTATTTTTTAAAAAAGGATTTTAAAAAGAGGATTCTAGGGGTGCCTGGGTGGCTCAGTGGGTTAAGCCTCTGCCTTTGGCTCAGGTCATGGTCCCAGGGTCCTGGGATCGAGCCCCACATCGAGCTCTCTGCTCAGCGGGGAGCCTACTTCCCCCCATCCCCCTGCCTGCCTCTCTGCCAACTTGTGATCTCTGTCTGTCAAATAAATAAATTTAAAAAAAAAAGAAGAGGATTCTAATGCAGCTGGTTTAGACTGGCAATTGGGAACCACTCGTTTCAACTCAAAGGACAGGCAGGTCCAGCCGGTTTTAACAACACACACGAGACACAGAGCCAAAATGTGTAAAACGGGGAGGGGCTAGAAAATCTTAAGTGTACATTCTGTGATCTG